CATTTATTTTTATTAGTTGGAGGCTAATTACTTTACAATATTGTAGTGGTTTTTGCCAAACATTGACATGAATCAGCCATGGATTTACATGTATTCCCCATCCCAATCCCCCCTCCCACCTCCCTCCCCACCCCATCCCTCTGGGTCTTCCCAGTGCACCAGCCCCGAGCACTTGTCTCATGTAGGACATTGTTCTTAACATGTGAGGAGACACCACTTTTCTGTCTTGAATTCAGACCTATAGGTTCCATTAGCTTCTTGTTAATTAAGTGGAGAATTGCAAAGACCAGAAACTTCATTTATAAATAATTCAAATTCTCTCTTCAGACACTTGAAAGCAAGGTCAAACTTAGAAAAAGCAGATCTTTCATAGTAGTGTGCTTAAATAGTCTTTGTTGTATCTTATACACTTTCTTAATTAACAACTTGGAAAAAATTAATCACCCAGGGACCTCCAGAATAGTTTAACTTTTCATAGAAGGACTGAAGCCTTGAAGGTCTTCCCCAAAAGAGAATCTGAACTTGTATATATTTAATTTATTTATTTGGCTGTACTGGCTCTTAATTGCAGCCCACAAGATCCTCAATTGAGGAATAAGGAATCCAGTTCCCCAACCAGGGATTGAACTTGGACCTCTTGCTTTGGGAGTCAGCCACTGGGTCACCAGGGAAGTCCCTGATCATGTATATTTGAATAGTAAGTGTTTGAGAATTTTTTTAAATGTGGTTGTTAGTATGGACAAAGGGAGAATATTGACACAGTCAATAATTATGATTCGCGATCTGCATTTGGGAGGAAATCTTTAAAATTTGCTTAGTATTTCACTTTGCTTGATTTCGTCCCAACTGAGCAATTTAACAAATCTCACTTTTGAACAGTTAAGAATCATTTTCATAGTTTGGAATACAGGAACTTTACTCCAGGAATCATCTCTTAATATTTTTTCAGACTTTGGAAGAAGTACTTCACAGCAGAAGGTTCACTTCGGCCATTTGCTTCTAAAGACATACTGCACTTTTTTTTTTCTTCAGACACTACTGAGATAAACATCCTATTAATTGAATGTGTATTATGGGTCAAGTCCTTCATGTGTGTTGCTTCTTATTTTCACAGAAAATATGCAAGGCAGGAGTTATCATTACTCCTTTATAAATGAGCAGTCTGAGTTTCAGAGAGGGGGGCCATTTGTGTCAGGTCCCACAGCTACTAAGTGTCATAAGTAAGACTGGAACTTAGGTCATGTGGGATGGAGGTACCACCATGTGGGCCTAGGGTAGGCACTGACTCTTGGATGGAGCAGATAAAAGGTGCAATGGCATTGAATGACTGTGAAAGTGGACATGAAGAATTCAAAAGTAATACTTCAAAGTATTACCTTGGTTAAGTTCATTTTTTATTATTTAAAACCAAAATCCAGTAAAAAGGGGGAAGGTTCAGAATCAAATATTAGTTAACCCACACATTATTATGAAGGAAAAGAACACCCAGCCTGTTGGCCTTTTGAAAATTTTATACTCTTGAGCACTTATCCTAATTTGATCTAGTTGTAAAATAGAGGGGTACTTGTTTTGAGTTAACTAATGAAATAAGTGGGTGGTTTTCTTTTCAGGGCCTCATTACTCTTCAAAGTTTACAGCAGTGTCAGCAGCATAAACAGCATCAACTTAACACTTACAGAAGGCTCCCAATGTATCAAGTGGTAAGTAGATAAGAACTTTAGACAATTTAGGAAGGAATACATTAATCGAGGAGGGAGTATAAACAGCATCACATTTTCACATAGACTATTTATTCATTTACAATGCTCAAATGCTAATTGGATCTCCACTGTGCAAGGCAGTGTTTAAGGAGTCTGATATGTTTAGCCTTTGAGAGACAGCATAGCTTAGTGCTTAAGATATCCAAGCAAGAGTTCCTGAGAGCAAATCCTAAAATTCTGAGCAAGCCATTTACCAGATGTGTGTTCTTTTTGGATAGTTTATTGCCTCTGTGCCTCAGTCTTCTTATCTTTACAGTGAAGTTAATAACAGCAAGGTCCTAACAGGCTTCTTCTGAGGCTTCCATGTGTGACTATTTGTAAAGCCTTTAGAACACTTTTCTTGGAGAAAAGAATGGCTATCCACTCCAGGATTCTTGCCTAGAAGATCCCATGGACAGATGAGCCTGGTGGGATACAGTCCATGGGGTCACAAAGAGTCGGACACGACTGAGTGACTGAACACATATAAAATCAAGCTTTATTATTATTATTTTGACCATACTGAGTGGTGTGTGGGATCTTAGTGCCCCAATCAGTGGTCAAACCTAAGGCCCCTGCCCTGGGAGCTCAGAGTCTTAACCAGTGGACCACCAGGGAAGTCCCTATGCCCCCTAAAACTTTAAATTGAATGTGTACAAGCAGACTTCGGAGATAGCATAGGTTCAGTTCCAGAGCACTGCAATAAATGAATATCACTAAAGTGAAGTCCCACAAATTTTCTTGTTTTCATACAAAAGTTATGTTTACACTATAGTAATTTATGGAGTGGGCAATAGCATTGTGTCTTAAAAAAATAATGTACATACCTTAATTAAAAAATACTTTATCAGTAAAAATGCTAACCATCAGCTGAGCCTTCGGTGAGTTGTAGTAGTAGCATCAAAGATCCCCAACAAATTTAATAATAATGAAAAAGTCTGAAATATTATGAGAATAACTAAAATGTGGCATAGAGATGTGAAATGGGCAAATGCTATTAGAAAAAAGGCATTGACAGGCTTTTTTGATGCAACAATACTTTCTTGGGCCAAAGCCATCTCTGGGTCTTTTGTTGTCCATGGAATTCTCCAGGCCAGAATACTGGAGTAGGTTGTCTTTCCCTTCTCCAGGAGATCTTCCCAACCCAAGGATTGAACCCAGGTCTCCCACATTGCAGGTGGATTCTTTACCAGCTGAGCCAGGAGAGAAGCCCAAGAATACTGAAGTGGGTAGCCTATCCCTTCTCCAGCAGATCTTCCCAACTCAGGAATTGAACTGGGGTCTCCTGCATTGGAGGCGAATTCTTTACCAACTGAGCTATCTGGGAAGCCTTATGGTATACACATAGTCTAAAATTTTTTCCTTATATGGTTTTTCTTAACACATCCAGTCTCTCAAGTGCATTACCTAAACTTCCCTGAACTTTTGTTCTTAATGTCCTGGCTTCTGGTCCTCCATCTTCTTTCTCAGCCTGAACTGATGGTTCTCAGGGCCCCAGTCCAGCTGTCTACATGGAACTGTGGTTCAGTTCCCTCCTGAGGAGTCACAAAGAGTCGGACACGACTGAGCGACTTTCACATGTGTATGCCAGTGGATTTGGACTTTAAATAATGATAAAATATTTCTTCATAAATAGAAAGTTTCAAAGAATGCATTCAATGTGGGGTGCCAAAAGTGGTGTTTTCCACGTGGGGGCGTCTTAAGGTCTAATGATGACTCATGCATCAGATAATCAATAATATATAACCTACTTGAAGTCAAGAAGGTTCAGGGAAGATGGTTAAATATGCATAATTTGGGAATTTTTATTAGTATTTTCTTCATCATTGTCCCCTAAGTTATTTTGTCAGGTGATAATAGCTTCTTTCAGACATGGGTTTCCTTCTCTACATCTTAAACTTCCAAAGAAAAATGATATAATAATTCTCAAGAATTATAAAAGCTCTGACTTGAGAGGGCTATTTTAAATCAGAAAGAAAAGGTTCAGGTGACTAGTTCATGAAGTATCAATTAATTTATTCATTTCTCCCTTTAAAGGATTTGTATCACTTCTACTTGGCACAGCCTAATAATTAATTTGAAATTATCTTTAAAGAATTGAGGCGAGATTAATGTTTCAAATCTAAGTGAAAATTAGTGAGAAACATTTTCTCTGGGAGAAAGAACTCTCATATATTACCTGATAGCCTCATGTTATTAGAGAAATCTGATGACTGGCATAGTGATAATCTTATTTACTGAATGATTTTTCATTAACAGGAACTACACTAATAAAAACAAAGAAATAAATGCCATATGGAAATTGAAGGCACAGAAGAATAAACACACCATTAACTTTGTCCAAAAGAAAATCAATTTTAGTGATATATTACGGTCAGTGGCCTGTCAGTCACAAAAGGATGAGGGGTCATATTTAGTCATCACTTAGCCTGGTAGCTCAGATGGTAAAAAATTCACTTGCAAAACAGGAGACCTGGGTTTGATCCCTGGGTCAGGAAGATCCCCTGGAGAAGAGAATGTCTACCCTCTCTAGTATTCTTCCCTGGAGAAATCTATGGACAGGGGAGCCTGGTGGACTGCAGTCCATGGGGTCACAAAGAGTTGGACATGACTGAGCAACGAAAACACTTTAGCCAGAGACAGAAAGAGTAGCGTGTTCCATGTATTTCTTTTTTGAAATGTTATTTTTCTATGAAAGGAGCTTTCCTATTCAGATGACAATTCTGTACATGTATAACATGGTGTTTTTATATCTTCTGCAAATAACCTTCTTAAATGCAATTAATGTGACAGAGACCCAATTAGAAACAAATGAAGTGAAGTAAAGGTCAGAATCTACAGGACCTAGGATACATGGTTAATGAGGAAGTAGAAGAGATTTGGAGGGATGACTTATGGCTTTTATAAGCACCAATTTAGTTTTCGCACTGAGAGAGAGAAAAATAGACAAGATAAATCACAAACTTTGGGGACTGACAGGACCCACGTCTCTCTAATCTACTATTAATCTGGCTCGTCTGTGCTCTCACTTCAACAGTAGTTCCATTAAATTGCATCTTAAGAGTCAGGCGGTCACTGTTTTCTGGTATAAGTCTTAGTAATCTATGGTCTGAAACCTATCAGATTGCCATCGATTGAAACTTGGCCTTACATTTACCTGGAATCAAGAATTGATTGTCCTGGAAAATTCTAGGGACAGAGGAGTCTGGTGGGCTTTAGTCTATGGGGTCACAAAGAGTCAGACACAATTGAGCATGCATACACACACTGTGTATATATATACATAGATATATTCATATCTATATATATATATGAGGATTTACACTCAGGCATGTGTATGTGTGTAACCTACAAAACTTCAAAAAACAAAAGCAAAACTTACCTGGAATCAGCAGTTTAATGTTTAAAATATTACATCAACCAGCTTATGTCCTAAAATTATTACCATTAAATACTTAGATTTCTCTAAAGTAGAGCAGTGATATTTAATGGTGTTTTATAGCAATTCACAGGGTTTTTTTTTTCTTTTATCAAAATAGTATTGAAGAAAAAATGTTAGTGCTAGAAGAGATTTTTAAAAATCCAAATCAGTCTCCTAGTCATTTAATATTTCATGAAGTTAGAACTTTTGCAATAAAATAGATGGCTGTTTAATTTTTGCAGTAATATTTTCTTCTTTCTGTTACTCATTAATCCTTTTTTTTTTTTTGGCTTTAAATAGAGCTTTTTAAACATTAGCATATCAGGTACTGTTGACTGCCTAACTAGTATCCAATTCTTTCTTTCTGACACCCAAATATTGATTTTCTCAAACATTTTTTCCTCAGAGAGGTATCCCATATCTGGATCATGGTGCCCACATGCTCAGTTGCTGAGTCGTATCCGACTCTTTGTGACCCCGTGGACTGTATCCCGCCAGGTTCCTCTGTCCATGACATTCTCTAAGCAAGAATACTTCAGTGGGTTACCATTCCCTTCTCTGGGGGTCTCTGGATCATAAATAACCTTTATTAGTCTAGTGATGATTATCCTGTTTGCTTTGGTTGGTTTTGGAGGGGATTTAGACTCTTGTTTTAGACAATGAAATAAGAAGGGATGTCTTCTTGGAGCTTTCTAGGAAAGATTTTCTTATGGAGTCTAGGAAATATGCCAGGTGAATAATAAAGTACATTCCCATGATGATAGCTGTGTAGGAGGTTCAGAAAACAATTGGCATAAATTTGAGCAAGGGATGGAGGTCTATAGTGAGGAAACTAAGAAAAAACGCTTGAAGGAATTTAGTAATGTCCTTGAAAGATTGATTGTATTAAGGCAAACAACAGAATTAAAAAGAAGGCAATTTGGAAGGACTTGAAAAATTTTACCATGTTTAAGGGGGCTCAAGGGCATCGCTGGAAATTCTTCTGAATCGCTTCCTTCCTGATTATGTTGTCAGTTTCTATGTCAGCCATTCACTGAAATAAACTTCTCTGGCTTCTCACCATGTTCTTTTGTACTTTGAGACACTAGAAGAGGTGATCTGTTTTCCTGTTCCTGGATGTGGTCTGGCTGTGAGGTCAGGAGTAGTGTGACCATCTTGATAGTTTCCTGAAGTCTAAATCGCTGCTGGGGAGACGGCAGAGGAAAGAGAACTGTAGGGAAGCTGTTCCCTGCCCTGCTTTTCCTGCAGGTTTATTGTCATATGATATAAATAGTCCTCTTATCATTTATTCCAATTTGAATCTAGGCTTTCTGATACTTGTGGCTAGTAGATCCATTCACAAAAATGAAATCTCATTGAATCCTCAGTCTGTGTTAAGATGCCCTCTGACTAGGAGGAATAAAGGCATAAAGACAATTATTTAGGCATGCGTCCCATCCACTTTATCCCTGTTTCCCAAAGCCTTTGGGTTGGTTGGAAATAGGGATCCCTTCTCTGTTACAGTAGGGTTTCCCTAGCTCCTTCTTTCAAAGGTATTT